GCATGCTTGTAGATACCAATTGCTGATACTGGCATTACCACCCGATCATACATCTATACTGCCGCGAACGGAAACTTTCAGCTACCCCCCCCCCCCTGCCAAACAAAGAGCATCAAACAGAAAGCTAAAACGTCTCAGTCAGTGAAAGCTAAGATGCCCTGTCAAGTAGGGCCTGTCATCGATCTCTGGATGAACGGCCATGGTGTTCGTCCAGTGAGCTAGGACCAGATCGCAAAGCAGGTACCTCGAAACGAGAAATACAGACTGGACCTAGACTTTGTGTAACCAACACCTTGGATATATGCCTAGTCTTTGATGTCTCGAGCAGGCGTCACGTGCCCTTACGGCTCCGCCAAGAAAGTCCAGAGTCACTACCATAAGGTCGTCCAAACCATCGGAAGTAAAACGGCATAACAGAGATCTCCATCGACACTTCCACTGCAGTTGCATCGCCCACAATGTCGTTCAATCTACAGGAAGCCCCAACCCATGCGATAAAGAAACCGAGAATCTCCCGTGAAGAAGTACCTTTCGTGCTGCGTCTATAAGCCCGATCCCGACTTGCGACTTCTCCACTTGATGCTTTGAGGCAGCGATGCTCTTAAACCCAGCAGCCCAGATACGCCCGCGGCAGGGTTTCCATTGATGAGAAAACTCGACCCGGCTGGATCTGCTCAAAACCCCAACCCTCCATCACGGAAGCAAGGCACAAATAGATCTGCATGAAGAACACCAGGCATGTGTTCAGGATGTTCCTCCATCGGCCCACCCGGCAGTAGTGCTTCACCTTAGACATTTGGTGACAGTGGACTTCAGGCTTAGGGTTCTGCCTATATGGTCAATCCTCATCCGAAGTACTAAACTCTGCATACAGAAGCACCCAAACACCCCGCCCACCCGCCTCACGCGCAGGGCTTCAAACAGAAACATACATGTATATGTGTAAGAATATTTTTCTATAATAAGAATACACCATTCCAGACTCTCTTCCAAGGCTAAGCTTCCAAACAGACCTTCAAGCCCCACAGCCTGAACTCGTAGCCCTACCTACATTGCCAACCCCCAAAACCCGGACCTCCGCCATCGCTACACCCACTGAACCCCTCCTCGCTGATACCCGAAACCCTAAGCCGGCGTGTGAAACAAAAACCACCAGAAACAAGCTCTCGGCCAGGTTCTCAGGTTTGAGGTTTATGGTTTAGGGGCTTAGGTACCCTGGCAGCCTGGTACCTTCTATTCGCTTTACTTAGGAGAGCCCCGAATCAAAGTTGTAAGGGTATTTCGGGATGACCCAACAGATCCCACAGAACCTTATGAAGCCCTTACACAACTGGTCAAAACCTTTTCGAAGGCTTATCAACCTCTAAAACACCCATGAACTCAACGACTCCGCAAGCAACTTCAGCCGGAGGGGCCATCTCCCAGGTGGGCCGGCCTTGGGCTTCCTCCTCACGCAAGCTGCCGGCGGTGTAGATGGTGGTCGGCTTATGATGAGCGACCTCCATCGTTGAGACTCTCGCCCTTAAGTGGGGCTTAGGCGTTTTTTAGGTTCGGTTAGGGCTTAGGGCTTGGGGCGTGCAGTTCAAGGTTCGGGGTTATGGGCCACTTGGGACCTGGAATGTACAGGCTTGCAACACGCTGAGAGTTCACTGTAGGGTTAGTTGAAACGTTGACGGCTGCAAGTCTCAGTAGTGCGGGGCTATGGGGTAGGCTCCAGCTCCCGACCTCAAGATCCGAACCTCCCCCGAAGAGCCCTCAACCCACAAACACAAACGTCATCAAGCAGTGCCCTGTAGCAGTACCACCATCGTCCTAAACCTTGGGCCCTAAACGCTCGGGCCGAAAGCCGACAACCCACATCCTCAGACGAATCAAAGGCCCGACTTCCCGATCCTAGCACCAACATCACAAAGACAAGGAAGCTGCCTTGGACTCTTCCTTTCCGGAGGAGTCGGGTGATCCATCGTCAAACACCTGACCTGGGTTTGGGTTCAAGACTGTTGGATTCGGGCGATTTGGGGCTTAGATTATTGGTTTTGCAAGAATGCTTGAATCGAGGCTGGAATCTAGGGGGTTGGATTGAGGATTCGGGGACAGGGGATGGGGTTGTGGGCTGCTTTAGGGATGAGGTGGCTGCATGCGCAGATATTTACGGTTTAATTCATGTCAGGCGCTGAGTGGAAAGTCAAAGTCTTCGTCGGGCGGTTAATGGTATGGCTTTCCGTGTTTGGACTCAACCTCTGGGTTGTCTGCTTAGGTGTGGGGCTACGGGGTCCCCGATATGCGATTTTACAGAGTTGACTGCCAAACAAGGCTGCTGAAGCTCGTTGGTTGGAGATTTCCTTCTATGATCCCCAGTGTGCCCATAATCCCCAAAAGTGACTGTGCTTTACTGGCACTACTACCACCAACAATAAAACACAAGTATCAGACGATTGTTGCTCTTCTGTTGTATTCCTTGCTGTTATGAACTACTGCCACTATGATTCAAACCCCTATGGCATCCTCACAATAGGGATCTCGGGTTCTGACCCAGACCTCCCATTTGTAGTTGGGCACACCCCCCGAAGGGTTTCGGATTCCAGGTTCAGGGTCTGCAGGGCTCAAGGGGTTTAGGGTTCATAGAGTTCAGGAACCCAAAACAGTAAACCACTGTAGGGTTGAAGGCAGCTTAAGGTTTCGTGTTCAGGGTTGAGGATTCCGGGGGTTAAGGATCTAGGGCAACTCGAAGCAGAGCCCTACAGCCCCGAGCCCCAAACCAAAAAAGTCCCTGAAACCAAACACAAACTTGACAGAATCATGGGCCTGCATCGGCCGCTGCCGTCTGGAGGAGGTCCTTGTAGGCCTTGGTCTCCATCACCTGGAAGTGCTCCCCGGGAACTGATCCTGAGCCCTGCATCCTTCTTCTGACTCGAGGGCCTCCCATGACATTTTGGGAACCGGTACCACAAGCACCTACATTACCCTGAAACGCAAAACCTAAACAACCCTGAACCCGGTCACCCATCGCCTGACTTGGTTCGCCCATCTCCACAATGCGACCACCCGAGAGCACCTGAGCTTTCAAGCTCCTTGAAGACGAACTTCGAATCTTGGTTACCTTATTAATTCGGCGTGTCGGGTGGGGGGGGGGGGGGGGNNGGGTTTGGGGCTTAGGGTTCAGGGGGTCCCTGTGCTGAATAAGGATGCTCGTCTTTGTCGGTACATGTGCGGTGCCCTGTTTCAAGCTCCTATGTCCTAACCTGGAGGGTCAGGTCGCAGCTGAAATCCTCATGCTTCACTGATTCACGCTGAGTCGAGGATCCCAACAATGCCCAGGAACCCCGAAGGTTCAACCCTACAACCGTTGCATCAGCTCGAGTTTGTTTAATGGTCGGCGGGCCCCTCATCTCAGAGCCCGCGACATCATGCAGGCTGAAGAGCAACCACACGATCGAACTTCTTGATCCGCTCCGAGTCAGGCTGCAGAACGACGACCTAAATCGAGGCCAACGGTACTGGGCCTGTGAGGATTTCAGACCATAACAGCTTCAGTCGGCTGGAACTACCACCAGATGGGGCTTGGAGGTTCAGAACTGTTGGGCTCTATACAGGAGTATCGCGAAAACCCAGAAGCCTTCCGCAACAAGCAGCCAGACCAAAAGAACACACTAAAAGGCTTCGGCTGAAGCCCGACTATATTTATCTGAAGCTAACATGGAGTTTGGTGTGTTGACGCTGAATATGTACCATTCAGGAACTTGGTGTTGTGATCTGCCCACGCCTCCGACTGTCCTGCTTGCTCTTGTTGGTACGACCATTTCCTACATGATCGATACGTCCGAACATGAGTTCCTTAGGTGTACGGTCTCTGGTATTTCTGAGGTCTACCACAAGGACTTCCAGATTGGACTTACGTTCCCAACAAGCCCCTGCATTGCCCTGCATGATGGGAGCTCAAGAACACAAGGCGCTCGAGCTTTGGATCGTAAATGATGCGGCCCATCCATTAACAAGAACCCGATAACATCCTTATTAATCAGACGCTATTACAGAAGACAGCTACTCAATCCCCAGAAAGATAATTCAACATCAGTACACAAGCCTGCCAGAAACCTGGAATAACCACAACGAAGAAAACAATGCCCAGCTCAGCGGCACGAGTCTTGGATTGAAGGAGGGGTCCCAACAGCAACCTGTGGATACCAGGGCAAAGAGCTTTCCTTGGGTCCTTTCAGTGTTTCTCAGGGTTTTATGTGGCTTTACAAGGCATCATGGTTTTTTTCAGAACAGGGGCGGATGCCTTGTAATTGCGACTCCCTAAAATCCACGTACCTGTATAGCTCACCATACCATGTCTGTGGGACAACGATACGGGCACATGAACCTGTCCAGTTTTCGGTGACAGTCAGGATTCGGTAACCCTTGCCTTAAGTATACACCTCTAAGCACAAACAACCCTATCAAAATCGACGGAAGGGCTGCTAAAAAGAGCCTTTAGGCCCAGCTCAATCCTAAACTTAAGAAATTCAGAAACTCGTAATTTAATCTGCAGCCGTGACATCATGAAACCGTGAACTCCAAACGCCCTGAGACCTAAACCTTCCAGAACTAAGACCTTCTGAATAAAGGAAACCAGCTCTGCAGACCCCCCACCCCCCTTTTCTTACCATATAGACATTTGGCCTGTCCAGCAAGAGCATGGCTGTCGGGGCATCGACGGCTCCGAAGGGGTCGTCTAGTAGGACCAGCTCTGAGTGCCTCAAACAAGCTGATTCTTCATATGGGTTGAAGAGCTTTCAGGTTTAGGGTTTAGGGTGTAGCGCTATTTTCAGGCTCCCTGTAAGGGTTCCGTAAGGTTTGTAAAGTCGGAGCGTTTCAGGCTTTGTCGTCAATTTCTATGAGCTCCTTTTTGACAGGGCTGGGTGTACTTGGGCAAAGCCTTAGGGCTGAGGGCTCTAGGTTCCAGGTTCTCAGACAAAGAGGTCCAAATATCTCTTGATTCGAGGGCCCCTAAAAACCCTAAATTTGAAACCCTCGACCCGACCCCGGCCGAGGATTTGTTTGAAACAGCTTTTTGCCGGGATGCTGATGGTAGGCTGCTCGGGCCATGGAGATGCGAGCCCGCTGGCCGCCGGAGAGCGCTACCCCGCGGCTTCCTGGGTCGAACTAAGGACATGACCCATTCCACAAGGCCAATTGAAGGAACCCTGAAAACGTATCCTCAAAGGAACCCTTTAGAATACGAAGTTAGGAGGTTATAATGTTTGTGCGCAGCTCGTTTAAAAGTTGCTGCTGTCTTTTCAGGGTGATATAGGGTTCCAGAAAGGCTTCTGAAAACCGCTATTTTAGGCTTTCCCCGTGTTTGCTCAAGGGTCCCCATAAGAAAGATCCTACAGTTAAGCTCTCTCATTTGGGTCATTTGAGTGCAGTATTTCGGACCCTCCCATACCGCTTCCCTTTTGGTAACTAGTAATTAGCTTCCTTATTCAAGACTGTAAATCCTGAGCCGTATGCCGACCCGAGCCCCCAGTCCAATACCCGTCGCCAATGACAAATCACAAATCAATGCAAGAATACACGTACAACCGATTACCTGATGACAGAATACTTACCCGGATTAATCCTCACGATGCCTGGTTGTGCAGCTTTTAGGACTGTGCAGCCCACAGTCTCGGGAGTTCAAGGTAGCAGCTTCGACCCTGCACCCTCAGCCCTAGACCCGTAACCTTGTGCAGTGGACCCAGACCGAAACAGTAGGAAGCAGCTTAGGGATGTAGAGCCGGCAAACCACAAGGAGCCGTCCCTGAACAGGCCAATGATGCCCTGTCTTGGTTGACATGCGGGAATTCTGCTACATCCTTACATGAAACATTCTTGAACAACCCCTAACAAAGAAGACGAACCAAAACACAATTATGCACCATACGCTGGCCCTACACATGCCCTGAACCCCTGAGAACTAACATCCTCACAAGGAACCCTGATTTACAGCTCCCCCTGCCGGAAATATGTGTAAGATTTAATAAGTCAGGATGCCTTGCCCTTCCTGGATGCAGAAACCTAATGAGCTTTTGAGATCAGCAAGCTGGCCAAGCCGAGAATAATATTGGTGGCAACAGTGTCAAACCTATCCATGTTGAAACGACTCCGCGCCTTTGGTTTCGGCCGTTGGCGGTTAATCCTTGTGGCTTTCCAAACCGACCTGCTCGTTACATACGCACTTGAAGGTGCACTGCATCTGACCTGATGTCGATGCTGGATCACGTTGCTGCTCGGCATACAATTTTGCTTGTGCAAATGTCGATTCATTGCATGATGTCCCGCACTGGATTGCAGAATTGTTGCAGTTCGTGCCAGCTGACTGTGGCAAGTACGAGTGCGATGCATGGTGTGCTCCATGACAGAATGCCTGTAATGTCCGTGGCAAAACACATGGACATGACACTTCAAGCCTTGTGCATTCTCATGTTGATGTGCGGCCTTGTGCATTGATGCAAAAACTGACCAAGTGCCTTCTGTTCCACTTGCATTGCGTGCTTTCCTCTCGGGTTCCAATTGCCAGGGTGAGACCCAGCAGTGCTATACGATACACAAGTTCCGCATGCTCAGTGTCTAACTGGTTGGCAGCAGAAAAGTTGCGGACCAGCGATATGCGCAAGGCTTCAGTCCTTGCCCGTGACTTGTACATCTGGCGCTTGCTGCCCATGGTCATGCAAGCACAACAGAAGCCTGCGTGAATATGTGGGCGCACGACCTGCAGATTCAAACGATGCATGCATATGCGCCTCCTGACTCGATTCTTTTGCAGAGGTGTCTGGGCTGGTGCTGCCATACTGGCATGAATAGCAGGAACGGTTCTTGCACTGCTCATGTGCTTGTGGTTCTGCTGGTCTTGTGTCAGTCCTTGCTCAAAGATGGCAAAAGTTTTTGCCGCTGTACGGCTATTGTGGAAGAGTCGGTTTCAAAACATGTTTGGGAGTCAACTGGTGTAAAAGCCATCTCCACTCGGTTGATACAGTTAAGCAGTCTCTGGCGTCACTGAGCCCATCGTCCTGGAGGCTTTGGCCACTGCAAGCAGCTTCGTTCCAGCATGAGAACTGTAGAACTCAGTCTGTGGAGGGGATATTGAGTCCATGACGTGCTCAGTTTGTGTCACACCCTACTGCACAAATGCAGGAACAGGGGTGCTGTGTCTTTGCTGAAATTCCGCTGTTTCCGCAGCTGCCTGCCTCACGAGTGTCACCATGCAACTTTTGCTGATGCATACAGTACGTGTTGCAAGTAGCGCCTTTCGATACACATGTACATTCACCATCGTGGTGCTGCGTCTTTTGGCACGAGCACCAAGTTATCTTAGCCCATGCATGTTTAAGCAGCCGCCGCTAAATGCACGGTAGGTGGGCGGAACAGGGGCGCACGCGAAACATTGGTGACCTATGTTCATGTAGTGTAGTTTTTGAATTGAGACTAATGCGCCGCTCTTCTGGTGGGGAACCCTATCGAGCGGACCCGCATTTCCATAGCTCCTCATATCCCGCACCCTGTACTGTCGCCCGCAAGATTCCGATGGGGACACGATCTCCGCCGGGGAAAAGCTTGAGGTCTCCTGAGGGCAGGATTTTGTTTTAGGGCATTGTGGGAGCAGGGTTCATGGGAGGGAACGTAGGATTTAGGGGAAGGCTTCTCTGGTGTGCGCGCTTGGCTTGGGGTGTTGGCGTTAAGAGTTCGCATTTTTGGCTTTCGATTCAGTGTTTAAGGTCAAGGGCCTGAGATCTTGGTGTGATCGCACCAGTTTAAGATAGCTGCCCTCGGGAAGATGAAACCAGCAGAATTCACAGTACATCGAGGGTATAGCCGGTGTAGCATGCCATGGGGCTAAGAGCACTTTGCTGGCTCCAGGCCTTTCGGGCAGTAGAATAGGGAGCACAGGGCCCGTGGTTCCGGGCTGGAGTTTCTTTTCCTTGGCCGGAGCTTCAGTTTAGGCTTTGCATGCGGCGGGAACTGCTGCCTTTCATAGAAAGCTCCAATCCTTCGAGAGCGGCTGCTCGAATCGCAGAGCTGTAGCGCTCCTGTCGATGCCGTGTGCAATAGTTAGTATAATAGAATGAACTAAATTAGTATACTATAAATAGAATTCTAATAATGCAATAATCCAATATTTTAAGATAAGCGGTATACTGTCCAGCTCATGAGGGGCTGCAAACACTTGCTGAATGGCCATAGGGGCGGGAACAGCCCCTAGGAACAGCCCCCGCCTCCCACCATGACCACAGTCCTGGAAGCCAGAAGCTAAACCCGAACACTCGAGAACTCGAAAGCCCTAAGTACAAACATCGTTCATGCACCACCAACCCTAGGCCCTAAACCCCATGTAGCTGAAAGCTAAAGCCGCAGGGTATCAACACTCTGAAAGTTCTCGTATAAGACCCACAAGGCTTGTAAACACGTCCCAAAAAACCCTGAATACTCCAATACCTAAACTGAAGGCCCCTGAAACCTCCCCGTCAGCCCCTCGACCCAGGTCTTCAGCCCAAGTCGAGATCCGGAATCCTAGATCCCATGCTTCAATCATATCATTCTGCTCGCATTATCGAATAGTAGTGTGAAGTAAAGCATAGTATAGTATAGTACAATATTTTTAGTTTAGTATAGTATCTTTTTGATTAAGCGTGGTATGTTGAATTCTAGTGGTAGATTGTCGTTTTCCTGTCTGCATGCTGGCCAGATTCGCAACCTGCACGGCTGTTGTTGCGAGATCTTTCTGGCATCCCAAAGCCAATACGAAGCGCACAACGAAAAACCTAAGAACGTCAAGCACTCAGCGCCGTACATGCGCACAACAACCATAAGAGACCCTCAACCCTAAAAGCGCAAACCCCAGTTCGAAACACGAATCAATCCCTAAACACAGACTCGAAAAACACCCAACATCACTTTACCCCAGAAGAGATACCCCAAACCCTTCGTGGCCCAAATTGGGCCTCGGATATCTCTTGGCCAAAGATCACGTTCTCGCGCAAGGTGCCCTCTGCAATGTGCGGGATCTGAGAGCCTTTGAGAGCAGCAGGGTCTAAGGATCTAGGGATTTGGGGTTTAGGGAGTTTAGGGGTTTGGGGTTCAGGGTTTAGGGCTCAGGGATAAAAGGTGTAAGGATCCAGCGATTTAAGGTTTAAGGGAGAGGATGAGGGAGCCCGACTACTTAGTATCCGTACGTGGGTCTCTCTTCTGAAGCCCTTGTTCTGAACCTAACATTCGGGTTTCCAGCTTGGGATCTGGGATGCGGTATTTTCGGGCCCGGCTTACCGTTCAGGGTTCCTGAGTGCTCTCCCCTGGTTCATGGAGCTCCGTTGGGACCCGTATAAAACCCTCATAGAAAACCCTTAGGCGCACACAAAACCCGGACTTGTTGATAAGTTTAAAGCAAAGGCCAAAACGTCTAAAACCATGTCTTGCTGTTGTTACCACCTGCAAGAGCATGTGGCAGCTATGTGATTATGCCAGTTGGGTATCCTGTGCGGTTTGTCGTGGCATTGCCTTTGCAGCACTTGTCTGAAGGGAACTGTCGGATGAGAGACGGAAGACCCTGTGGAGTGCGACTACGACTTCCTGCGTGACTTCCATCATGATGCTGAGGTTCATGCTGCTTGGATGTCATTACCCTCGTAACGACGTAAAATCAGATGCCAGAGGACATAAGCCACCCCCTGAGAGAACCAACAAAATCAATAACACGCAACTAAGCTTTTCGCAAGTTCTCTGCATGCAACTGTCTCTGAGGTTCTAAGCAAAAAACGCAACGCAAGCTCAGAACTTCTTTGTCGGGGGTAGCCCAATTTCTGATGTCGCCCAGACCCATAAAGACATAGGGTCACCCTGAACCCTGAACGCCCTATATCCGAAACCCCCCAAAACCTACAGCCTAAACTCTAAGCCCTGAACCCTAAACCCCAAACCATGAGTTCTAAACCTAAGCCCTGTAAGCCCTGACCCTAATTGCCGAAACCGCCCAAGCTCCCTAAATCCTAAGCCCTAAACCCGAAACCCGGGCAAAAATGCCGAAGCTCCCCCTCATGCGGATGTAGCGGCAGTAAGCCACAGTGTCGGGCCGACTAATACGAGCTCTCTGGCCATCCCTGGGCATTCGGTGCAGGGTTTATTTTAGTGCTTGGGGTTCTAAAGTTTAGGGTTTAGGGCTCTAGGGTTCCAAGCTGTAGGGCTTTGGGTTCAGAGGTGTAGGGTTTAGGCCTTTTTGGTGTCTGAGTTTTCGTCAGGTTTCGAGGGTTGGCTTAACTTTATAAGGACTTCAAGGGAATGTGATTACAAATTGTGCTCTTGGTCTCTAGGCCTTTCTGTTTGATTTAAGGAGTTGGGGTGGGTTTGGGTTTGGGTCTTAGGGCTAAAGGCTTTATGACCTTGAATTAATGTTTGGGGCAAAGGAGCCATGATTTCTTGTTCAGCCTACCATATGGCTGCTCTTCGAAACCATATTACTATACTTTTGTCTGGCACTACCTCGTGTGGTTCCCGTTGCTGTTCTGTTCGCCAACACCCGGCTCTGGGCACCATGTTTCACCACCGGACTGAATCAAGATTTCGGCTTCCTACCAGCCCTGCGACAGTGTATCTACTCCCCTGACTGCGAACTTTGAGCTGAATTGAGGCATGAGTCCGATCAGGCTTCGGCAGATTATTCATGCATGCTAATAACCTGTATGTATGTATGTATGTATGTATGTATGTATGCATGTATGTATGTATGTATGTATGTATGTATGTATGTATGTATGATTATGTATGTATGTACGTATATATGTTTGTAATTGAGTAAGTAAGTAAGTAAGTAAGTAAGTAAGTAAGCAAGCAAGCAAGTAAGTAAGCAAGGGCGGACGGATGGATTAATGTTTGGATGTAGGTAAGGATGTATGTATGAATGCATGGAAGAATACATGCATGCATGCACGTGCACATGCACATATGTGCGTGTGTACACAATGTAGCATGTTGCCGGGGGTCCGGCTATAGGCTTCAGGGTTGAGGGCCGAGGAACTTGGGCTTCCGGGTCTGGCTCAGGGGTTTCAGGGGTCTTAAACCAAAGCGATGCGAGCCTCCAGGCTCAGCTTTTTATGGTTTAAAGGGTCCCTGAACCAATCCACGCCGCTCCCCCCCCCCCCCCCCCCCAAGAGCTTAGGATGGCAAGGGCTGAACCAAAACACAGGGCTTTGAGCTCCGATCAGACCCTAAACACTCGAAGCCCTAGACCCCGAACAAGAACAGGCACAAAATTGATGTCATCGGGCCTTAGAAGATCAACAACGGTTTTGTAGAGGGACTTTTTTTTCTCACCCCAAACCCCCCCAAAACATCAAAATCCCTGAACGCTCTTCGGATTAATGGATTTGGCCAAAGCTGCTGTGGGTAAAGCTCACCTAGGATCGCCTGTACGCTTGGTGGACGTAGAGCAGATTCAGGCTGGTTTGTTTGGAGTTTTGATTCGAACTCCTTTTCTTAGAATTTAGGGCTCAGGGTTTAAGGGTTCAGAGTTTTGCAATTTGATTTGCGGGAGGTTTGGAGTTTTAGTTTTGGATTTGGGCTTGCGGCTCTGAGTACTGTTGTCGTTGCACAGGCTTCATGCGGACACCCCCAACGAACTCTCAAGACAAAACTGAAAGATATCGTTTGACATGCCCTGCTGTGGGTTTTGGCAGTGACACGTTTTGGACTGGCATGGCCCACAGCCCAAGATCTCTGAGAACAAAACGCAGCTTACCACCGTTTGCAACACACATTCTGCACCGACTACCCCCTCAACCCCAAACTCTAAACCNNCCTAAACCCTAAACCCCAAATACCCCTAAACCCTAAACCCTAAACTCCCTAAAAAGCTCTGAACCCTGCACCCTGAACGCAGAAACCCAAGGCCTGAACTTACAACACAGAGCAGCTGGATGCCAAAACTGCCAAGACGATAGCAACATGGGTTTAAGGTTTAGGGCTTAGGGTTGAAGGAGTTTAGGGTTTAGGATCAGGAAATTCATTGAACAATTTGTCCTTGTATTGCAGCCTAATTAGGCTTGATGACCCTTTTTGCGCGGGTGCTCAAAACATGCTCCTATTCTCAGTGTTGCCATTTACAGCTGCGAATTATCCTTCTAAACGCAGCAGCGACAAAAACTGCCACTGCCACCGGCACCTGCGCCGGCCCCAGCACCAGGCTCACCCCCACACGACGACTGATACGACACTAGTATCAGGAACAGCAAACACCAGCAGACAAAAATGACAGTGGTCGCAACCATAAGAAGAGGAAGAAGGACCGCAATCATGAAAACGAGCATACTGCTGAACGTTTTATCGTAGCAAACAAAACTACGGCGACGACGGCAGCAGCAATGTCGACGCCAGTAACGACGATCGCTACTATCACCCCAAGCCGTACACAAAAACCGTAAACCCCTCCAAACCCGCTCCGGCCTGCAAAAGGGTGCTCTTTCCCGAGCCCACTGCACCAAGAACTGCGAGGAGCTCACCACGATTGATCTCGGAGGTCTTAATAATCAGAAATGGGTTGCTGTTGTGTTCTTAGAGCGGGGGTGGGGGGAGGATTGCTGCGATTCATTAAGACTGTGCCTCAGGGCAACTACTGTTCTTCCGACCCGTTCCTGAAGCCCAGGGGAAGCTGTGGGATTCCACGAGAGCCTCCGGGACTGAACTGAAAACCCTGGGCTCGATCGTGTAGATGTTACAAATCATGGCGCGAGGTCTTTGGGGAGCATAGGTTCCATAGGATTCAAACTACTAGCATATTCTTCCGACCTCCATATTACGCTAAGCCTGGGTTTGGGATTTGTCGATGGCATTACGGCCAAGATCTACAGTTCGCAGGGTCCGGCATGCGATCTTGGGGTCAGCGGAAGGGATTCCAGCCTGGGGTGTAACTATACAGCACTGCACGTCCGTGAATTAAAGGTTCAGGGGTTCCAGGTGCCAATAATCTGACAACGCCTCAAGACCACTAGATGTGCCATCATCGGTGTGTAGTAGCCGGAGTTCCCTACCATGCAGAATTGTGAGTATGTTTCGTCCTTTATCGCTGCAACGCCTTTCATGCTCGAACGTCTTATGCCGCTTCTTTGCCTTCTATGACAAATACTACTTGGATATTGCTATTGGTATGCTTATCATAATGACGGGTATTGTTAAACGTAAACTTCAAACAATAGACAATCGATGTCAGTATCATTATTGCACTGCTTGTTTTTTTATCACCAGTACTACTATTTGTCTTAGACCTCGAGGTTTCAATGCTGTGCTGCACCTCAAGGTCGAGGTCGTGCAGCACCGATGGGGCGTCCTCCGGAGCTGGCTGGGCGTGGTGGGACCCGGTACAGCATGGGAATTTATATGGGTTTGCAGGGCTTGGAAGGTTTATAAGTAAGATGTACAAGGTGCATGGGGTTTATCTATAAGCTTGCTGGACAGTATTGTGACGAACATGACATTGAAGAATCAATCCTAAGTAACACGCGAATACAGGGTTCCCGGGCTTAGGATTTCGGGCATGGGGTTGGTGTAGGGGTCAGGGCCTAGGACGGATATCCCTGTCCGGGAGGACGCCTCTGCCTTTAAACCTAAACCCTGAACCGTAACTTGAGATTGAGGCCGGGTTGCCAATTTCAGGGCATGCGGAGTCTGGGCATCAAGATGCAACAGTCGTCCCCTGAACCTGAAACCCGACCGCAGAATTCAAGGTCCTGCGCCCAGCGGAAGCTACCACGCACCACCAGACTGGAAGGAACCTCGGCTTCGTTCGTTCAAGCGTTTTGGATTTAGGGCCGGGTCGGGGAAATATACAGGGCTCCATGGGTTTGTGGCTTAGCGACCATTGCAGATTACCGCGGATTCGGAAGCCCCACTTGACAATTCCTATATACCATAGATTGATGACTGGCATCTTTGCAGAACATTTCAGCCTAGAATCTAGAATGAGCTTCAAGCGATCATGCAAACAATGAACATGGCTGACCCACCTTATTGAATGTCCCAGCGACAACGATCATCGGGCGGGAACCCTAAACCCGAGACACTCTTTATCATATGTATTTAAACCTTGATCCATTCGTTGAAGATGACCTTTTCTTGTGTTAAATAAAAATAAAGTTCAGTGAAGAAAAAGTCATATTCAACGAAGGAAAACATATTCAACGAAGGCCGGCCCTTTGGTTGAATATGATTTGTCTTCGTTGAACGTGTTTTGTCCTCGTGCTTAGGGTTCAGGGTTCAGGGCCTTTGGGTTCAGGGCGGCCTAGGGTTCAGGGCTTAGGGTTCAGGGTTAGGGTTCGGGTTGGGGGTTTAGGATTCAAGGCCTCGGGTTCGTATCATAGGGTTTAAGGGATATGCTGGGGCTGTACCATAGGATTAAAGTGCCGCTGCAATTCGCCAAATTGGGTGTGCAGTTTAAGCTCTAGGGTTCAGGCTGTAGGTTTGGGGGTTTAGGGTCTAAGCTCTAGCATTATACAATATGGTTTCTCAATGCTGAGGGTTCCTGGGTGGGTGGGTATTTTTCTAGGATCGAACGAGCGAGCTCGACTAGAGACTGCTCCCTACCCCATGAACCAGTTTCGTGTTTTTTTGTTGTTGCTGTCATGTCCCTAATCTTCTGCACTCGAAAGCCGCCAGGCCTTGGCATGGATTTGTAAGGTTTAGGAGTTTACTTAGGGCTTAGCCCAAATTTCTGGTCGGGTTGTTGCTAAGCTCTGCACCTCCAACACCAAAGCTCCAAAGAGCTGCCCGGATCTTGCATGTTTTCGGCTACATGTGTGCTTTTGGCTAAGAGTGTTAGCAGGTTTTGGAGTTTAGCATTCCTGCTTTGGGCTTTGAGACGTCGAGACTTAGGACTTCGTGACTCAGGCTTCGATGACGGTTTCAAGAGTTTTTGGACACGAGCTGAGATCCCTCAGTAGTTCCGCTCTTCAGAGCAAAAGTAATGTTGGAGTTGGAAATCTGTGTGTAGAGACAAGCTAAGCCACGCACGAGCCGCTGATGTGCATCTCCACTATGCAGTCGCTACGCTGTCATGCTCCAAGCCCAGAGCCCGACTCGGACCACAACTGCCGTCGATCATGGCCTAACTATCGATGATCTCTGTATCGGACCTATAAGTTGCCCTTTTGCTTGGCGAAGTCCATACCCTGAAAACCCGTTGATCCGAGGCACCGTCGGTCCGCTGGACAGCATTGGACGGTCTGTGTCGGGGAGGCTCCGGCTGGGCCAGAGACCTTGAGTCTCCATGGTTTGGGCTTCGGTTGTTGTAGGGGTATCTATAGTTTCCGTTGCAAATTCGCTTATGGTTGCCATTGATTTCATCAAGTATATGTGGGGATCCTCCCCAATCAAGTGGTCAACCAAAAAAGGTACTACCATCGAGGCTATAGAGTACTATGTAGGTAGACAGGTAGTGCAAGAATCCGACTCAGAAATCGAACCCACCGGTTCCAGATTCCCAACAGAAAGGAATCCATAGTCACAGCTTCACAGCTCTCGGCAGAAGCCGGGGTCTCTTAGTCAACTGCGAACCCTAAACCTCGAACAGATCGCACAGGTGGTGGTTGGGGGGGGGTTGACAGATTCCATCTAGACTATAGCCAAGGAAACCTAGCTCGGGCATGCTAGGGCTCAGAAACGTCAGTCGTTACTCAGCCGCCCTCGGCCCGTCACGCCTTACGAAGGCCCCCAAATTCATAGCAAAACTTCCTGCATTTCAGATGTTTTGGCCCACCGTCAGCTGGAGGATAGGCAATACTTAGCAACTATGAAGAAATGTGGGCGAGCCGTGCATCATGGCGTTGATTAGTTCAAGCTCAGAACCGGGCACACCAGATGTGCACTAACCAGCAAGGCTCTGTAGATACTTATCAAAACATGTAAACAGAACAGCATACTGCTGTGCTAAAAACGGGTTGCGTGCATGCACAGTATGCTCATAGTCACTCTACTTGCTATACCCCCGGTCGTGCACGCACGCTGGAAGAGGATAGAGAGGCCAGCTGATTCGAAGTATGTCTCGCTCCCGTTGGTTGCTTTGCCCGTAATTAAGTAGATACAGCCGCTAGTAGCAAGAACGATCACAATAGAGAACTGCAGAGCAAGCATCGTGCAAGCTCTACACTGCATCCTCCCCCTGAAGGTGACGAGCCTAAAACACTCTAAAGCCCCTATAAACCCTAAACGCCAAACCCTACAAGACCCTAAAGCCTCTATAAACCCTAAACCGAATCTTGCGGGGCTGGGCACTGACCCAATCCGGAGTCTTCTCCGGAGGCAGTACAGGAGCTTCTGTCATCTTCAGGAACCTTGATGAGTTAATGTGGGCTTTGAAGGGTCAGGGACCTTGATGAGACTCTCAGGAGTTGATGCGGATGTTGAAGGGTTTGGGCTTGGGGTTTTAGTCACCCCGTGTGCCGGAAACCCATCTCCTGAACCACATCCTCCCCGATGTTCTTACAACCCCAGCACTGCAGTTTTAACCACAGCCCGTAAATCCCTCATCAAAACCCATGATGGCCGTTTCAACAATACTTTCGCCGAGTATCGTCTCGAACCGCCCGCTCCTGTACCGAACCGCTCAGGGTGTAAGGTGGGAGGGGAGTGGGGAGGAGAGGTGAGAGGAAGGAGGTGTGAGGGTGGGAGCTGGGAGGGTGTAAGGTGAGAGTGGAGGTGGGAGCTGTGAGGAGGGGGGTGGGCAGTGGTGGAGGTGGGAGGTGCGAGGTGGAAGGTGGGTGGCAGCGCCGAGCCGCACCGCACCGACAGGCACATCCCCCCAAAAAAACGCAGGCAACGCCAACCGTGCCGAACCAACATGAAACCCCTCTGAAGCATGGTTCCTACAAAACCCCTGTGAAGCCGTGGACTCTATGGCAAAGCCTTTCTAGACCCATAAACCCCTAAACCCTTAATCCCTAACCACCAGTGTTCTGACCAGCGAACTGCTCGATCCGCCGGATGCTTGGGCCGATAACGATGGCCCGGCCCAATGACTTTGTGAAGAGGTCGCAGTTGCTCTTCCTTGGTCTAGTGTTTAGGGTTTTAGGGTTTAGGGCTTGGAATGGGGGGATTGAAATCTCAGGGTTTAGGGATTCAGGGTACAGGGTTTAGGCTCCTGGGTCGATGATAGGCTTAGGACTTCAGGCTTGGGTCGGTTACAGGTCTTTTGCAGGGTGTAGTCTTTAGGCTCGTCTTTGGTGTGTTATCGGCGTAGGACTCATTGCTTACGATATTGGGCTTCGGGTTTGGATCAGGGAAAGGCCTCATGTAAGGTTTTGTCTTTCGGATGGTCCTTAAGTCGGCTACAGGCTTCGGACTTAAGGTTTACGAAAATAAGGCTTATAGGCCTTGGGTCGGCTGGGCTCATGGCTTGGCAGAAGAATGGGATACAGGTTTAGGGTAGAGAGATCGGAAGACCTGGGTCGGGCGGGTGGATGGCTGCTCAAGGCGTTTACTGCCTCGGTGTCGGAGCTGCGGGTCACGTTGACGGGGATTTTGATATATGGCAAGCAGGTTGAGGGGCCCTTTGGAATCAATGATGTCCTCGACAAGATGTTGGAACTGAACATGAAGGAGTCCGAACCACTCACCGAATGTAATCCCTCAGCTCTCATCAATGTGATGTCTTCACGAGTGGGAGTCGCCGAGTTCAAGAACTGCGTCAATGTCATCACATTTGTCTTCTTTGCCATCATCGCCAACAACATCATACAACGTCACAATCTCCCCACATCCGAATGGCTATGTCGAGCGAAAGCCCACACCAGCAAGAAAATCCTCAATTCCGAACCGCGGATGAAGGCAAGCTTCAGATTGGACAGGATCTGCATGCACGTGAAGATGGTCGCTACATCATGGTGCCCATAAATCGCGGAGTAGCCCCAGACGCCGGAAAGGATCAGGAGGCGCGGGAAACTCAGGAAGAGACCCACGAAGACACCCAGGTAGCCTCAGATAATGATTGCACCATTGCTTGAGGTAAACCTGGAACCCTTGACCCTGACCGACCCCCTCCCCCCTGCGCCCCAGCACCCTGAACACTGAACGCCAAGACAACCTCAAACGTTATCAAGCGCGTATCCCTCATTCCAAGCTCGGCATGCGCTAGCTCAGAGGACTAGGGTCCATCTTCACAGAGGCAGAGCACCTGCCCAACACCCAACATTTATAGCGCTACTAGCTAACCAATGATGAGCAGTACTTATTATAATATAATATCCGAGTGTCATAGCGTGCACATGGGTGAGCCATCAAATCGGGAGCGAGAAATCTGATGCTGATGCTGACCCGAGGCCATGAATGCTGGTGCCCGCTGATAGGGGCATTGATGATGATGATGATGATGATGATGATAGAGATGATGATGGTGATGATGATGGTGATGATGATGATGGTGATGATGATGGTGGTGATGATGATGGTGATGATGGTGATGATGATGGTGGTGGTGATGATGATGGTGGTGATGATGATGGTGATGACGGTGATGATGATGATGGTGATGATGACGATGATGATGATGATGATGATGATCCTGATGCTGGTGCTGATGCTGACGCCGCTGCGGATGCTGATGATGATGATGATGATGATGATGATGCGGACGGAGGACGAGGAAGAGGAGGAGGAGGGCGGCACGCCCCTCCATCGTCGGGCCATTTCTGCTTTTCGCAGAGCACCAAGCACTCGAGAGATCCGGGTTGCATAACTTTCACTGCTGCCCGAAACCCTAAACCGGTTCCACACCAACTTTAGCTTCCGAGGTACCGTAGTATCTCGTCAGGCTCCTGACTTCCTCTCTTCTAGAATTCGAGATGCGATTGAACATGGCATCCTTTCAGGGGGGGCAGGGTCGAGGGTTTTGCAAGGTTCAGCAGGGTTACTGTAGAGGGTTTAGGGTCTGTTGGGTTTGGGGTCGAGGTTGGTTGAAATCTGCACGGGCTTCGGCTCGCTTCGGCTTGGAGTTAGTGGGTTGCTGCTTGCCTTTGCTTGGATTTCAAGGGGGTCTTGGCAGAGGGGATCGGAGGGCTTTCATTGGAGCTGCCTTGACCGCACCCGGACGTCTTTCTCAGGCGTTCCATGAATCCAACAATGTAGTTGGGCTTGAGGTGCAACAGCCATACCGCTTGTGTTTGAATAATGGAGAGTCACGTGGGAGCTGTACTTTCATGATGAGAATAGCGCTTTGGGGTATATCATGGTATCTGCATATCGTAAGGAACCTCCAGGTTGAGGAATAGCAGTAGTAACGCTGGTTATTATGTTATATTATTCTTATTGTTGCTATTCTCAGTATTCTCATTATAAGCCCTACTGTAAGCCCCAAACCGTACTTAAACCCTAAACCCCTAAACCCTTATGGCAACTCTATAAAACTTCGATATATTCTATCGACCCTGACCTCCCAGGCGTAGCACTTCACCGTCCGAATGCCAAAGAGCACCTCCCGCAACAGCGACACGCGCTTGTCCATGCATTCCTGCGCCGGGAGCGTGTTAGAGTTCAGGGTTTAGGGTTTAGAGTTTATGCTCATGAGCTTTAGGTTCCGGGTTTGCTTAAAAGGGTTCCTGCTCTCTCTGGGGCTTCAGCCCACGACAGAGTGCACAGCTTCTGGTGGCTCTTGGTTTGGCAGTAGTTGCTCCGGAGGTTTTGCGGCTGGATGTTGCGATGAGAGGCACTTCTGCGCGACAAAATATGTCAAGAGCTGGTGGGAAACAGTTCTGACTCTGATCTTGAACCCCTAGGTAAACCCTACACGCCAGGACCGAAGCCTCAAAGCGTCATCTCTTCCTCGACTCCTTAAACTTACCTTCGCCAAACTCCAAGTCCTGCATCTTGAAGGAAGCATGGCCCAAACCAGCACCTTCACAGTTTCGGGTTTATGTAGGGGCCTTACTGTTTGGAATAGGTTTTTGCGGTACATCATACGGTTATAAAGAGGGGCCCAACCAATAATATTGGCATTTATTTCGGCCTCTTTATTGGGGTGCAAAGGTTCTGAAGGTTCGGGCTTCGGGTTTGCTCTCTGTTGCTTTGGCTTTGATGGATTTCGAGTCTGCGGATTTATTGGTGCTGAACTCGGTATTATTGGGGTTTTTTTGCAGGTTGCTGTCGCACGATTTGTTTAGATTTGTTGCCAGGTATCACGTCTAGGTCTAACCCGGGACATGAAATCTGCATGCCCTGGCACTCATCCACAAAGACAGCCACACCACCGGCACGGCCACCGCAGCGGCACAGAGAGTTGCTAAACCGAGCCGATTCCACAACAGGAGTAACCTGGGCTTCTGTTAGGTTTATGGATGAGGTTTAGGGTTAATATTACGGACAGCGCATTCAAGAAGAAATCGTTGCGAATAGTTAAGAAATGAGACCCTGGGTTTTTGGGGTTTCCTATCCAGAATCCAGGGTCCTAAACCCCAGGTAAATTCATTCATTCTTAACCCCTAAACCTAGCTAAACCCAAATCCTAAACCCTCGAAGCCTTTGAACCGCCAAACCCAGAACGGCCTCAACTGCCCAACCTGCCTTCAGGCCCCAAAACACCACTTCGAGTAGATCGAGATCCCCCTCCATCATGGAGGGCCCCTTCGCGTTTGAGGCTAAACGCCGGCCCCTCCGCCCCGGCCCATGCCCATGCCCTGGCCCCGCCCACCACTGCGTGGGCCGTCCCCAAGCGACTCAAACCCTGAACTGGTTTATGGGACTCGATTTGGGGGTTGCAAGGTATTTTAGTCTATATGTATGGGAGCCAGAATTGCGCTTTAACTTGTAGGTTGTAAGTGAGGTCTTTTGGTCCTAAACGGGTTTATGGGAGCCAGAAACCCCGCGGTGGGAATTATGAGATATATTCCGGGTCTGGGCAGATAGGGTAGTTAATATCATATTCTCTACGGTTCCTGCGCGAGCTTCATTGCAAGGGTTTTGCTTCCCGCGTTGAGTGTTGAAGCTGCCACAATGACATTCTGAATTGCCAGTCTAAGGGGCAGCACGATCACCGAGATCGTGGAGTTCACGCACATGCAGAGCTGAACGTAGAAGCCTCTCGGGCAATCCCTGCTGTCTGGCAGCAAGCAGCGGCGCGGGCTAAAGACACAATGGCGAGAGGGGGTGCAGCTTACCCCAAATATCCGAAAATTACTAAACTACGTTACATAAGGATATAGAAGAGGGTTTGCAAAAACCCTCATGTATCCGAAACTTACTGACCTGTCGTTACGTAAGGATATATAAGGTTTAGTAAGGATCCCTAAAAAGGTAGGTAGTATGGCCGTCAGCTCCATTCCTGCTCACTGACGGCAAGCATCCTCTCAGCCGTCATCTCCGGATCAAGCGTGGGATGTTTAGGGTTTAGGGTTTAGAGTGATAATTATGGTGCTGTTGAACTGAACTTATGGTCTTATAGTATTGAAACTTGAGACAGGGCTGAATAAAATGGGAATGATATCGTGACTGCAACCATCACGGATATTTGTGCATGATGACGGGGCTGATCTGATAGATAATATTGATGGTACCACCAGCATGTCGGATATCATCGTCATCCTGCTGGGCGCGATCAGCACTATTATCGACGCCATCATCATAATCGTCAAAAATATGCTGGGAAAGATAATGCTGGTTGGGATCGTGACCTCCATTAATCGTGACTTGATGAGTGTGATGGTGTCCGTGACTATCGTGAGGATGGCTGTGGTGCTAAGAGGAAGATGAGACCAGAACGACGAGGATGACATCGACACTCGCCAGCAGTATCCCGATAGGCTGCATGATATCATTCCACAAACCCGGAGTTCGAACCGGCCTTGCAGATTTGTGTTCACGTCGTAGTTGACCAAGGTCATAAGATCTGCTTGCATCATGTGGATAAGGGCACCTGGCAGCGAAAGGGCAGTTCTTGCTAACAGGGACTTCAAGGCTTGCGTACTCAAGGACGTAAAAAGCGGAGAAGCGGTCCAAACCAGTCCCCCCATGCTGAGTTAGAATATACCGTGCCTGTTTTCGCTATCTGCACCACCCACCTCAAAAAGATAAATCGCAATCTTGTTCACAATGCCCGTTTCTATCCAAGTGCCATAGCCCAAAGTAGGCAAGGGACCCTTTTAGAATTTGGGTTGGTTCTGCCATTTCTCCTTGATCCAACGATCAGGTCCTTCGTTTTGCTTTTCATTCCTCGTGTATGTGTCTCCTCGTCGCTTGTATTCTTGAACTAGTAGCCCAGAACGATACGCTGAATGGTCGGGGTATTTTTGTATATATCTTCTTTAACTTCGTTATATAACTTTATGTTGGCGGGCGGTGGTGCCAGTAGTATGTCATATACATATGTATATATATATATGTATATATATATATGTATATATATGTATATATATATATGTATATATATGTATATATATGTATATATATGTATACAGATATGCACATACATACACACATGCATGCATGCATGCATGCACTCATAAACACATACATACA